AAGAACAACACACACACACACACACACACACAAACTCACAGAGAGAAGCGACGGCGGCCGCGAAAACGTCGCACGATTCGGTCACGGCATTTTAACCTCGCAGTTGCCGTAGTTTGGGTCGGCCGGGCACGCGCGTGTGTGTTTTTTTTTCTTCTTTTCGCGCAAAAGCTGAGAGATGCGGTGCTCCGGTCTTTTTCTGCTCCGCCGCACGTGCGTGGTGCTGCAGCAGCTCCCCATGCCGATGCCGCCGCGGCGACCGGGCAGCAGTGTGAACATGCAGCACTCCATGGAGCTGGAGGCGAAGCGGCGGATGGAGCTCGACGAGGCCACGCGCCACCGCTACGTGGTGGTGAAGGAGGAGACCACGGCGCGCAGCGGGCGCGTGATCGGCATCGACCTCGGCACGACAAACAGCTGCATCTCCTACGTCGACGACGCGACGGGCCGGCCCAAGATCATTCCCTCCCCGACCGGGTCGTGGGTGTACCCGACCGCCGTCACGTTTGACAAGAATCACAAGGTTCGCCTCTACGGGGAGGAGGCGCGGGCCTGCGTGCGCACCAGCGCAAGCGCCACACTCTGCAGCGGCAAGCGCCTCATTGGCAGGGGCGTGGGCGAGCTCGGCCGGGTGCAGTCGCAGCTGCACAAGACGAACATGCTGACACTCAACGAGAAGGGGGAGGTGGCGGTGGAAATCATGGGTCGCACCTACACGGTGGTGCACATCATTGCCATGTTTTTGCGCTACCTGAAGCATGAGGCGGAGAAGCACCTGAAGGAGCCGGTGGACGCCGTAGTTGTGAGTGTGCCGGCCTTCTTTACGCCGCAGCAGAAGGTCGCCACGGAGGACGCGGCTTTGGCGGCCGGCTTTGACGTGTTCGAGGTGATTGATGAACCCTCCGCGGCGTGTCTAGCGCATACCGTCCTGCTTGGCGCGGCGAAGCAGCAACCACCGTCGAGGCAGCGTGTTGTGCGGTCGCTTGTGTTTGACCTGGGCGGCGGCACACTGGACTGCGCCGTCATGGAACACGACCAGCGCCGTGGCACCTTCACACTCGTCGCCACGCACGGCGACCCGCTGCTCGGCGGCAACGACTGGGATGCGGTGCTCTCGCAGCACTTTCTTGATCAGTTTGAGCACAAGTGGCGTGTCCCGCTCGAGGACGCGGAGGGAAACGTGGGCCAGGGCGTGGCCGCCTACCGCCAGCTTGTCCTCGAGGCGGAGAAGGCCAAGATTCACTTCACCCATTCCATTGAGCCCTACTACGGGTATAACCGCGCCTTTCACTTCTCTGAAAAGCTGCGCGATATTGTGCCGCTGGAGGCGACGCTGACGCACGAGGAGTACGTTGCGCTGACGCGTCCGTTGCGCGTGCGCTGCATAGAGTGCCTGAATAAGCTCTTTGACCACACAGGGATTCAGGTGAGTGACATCGACAACGTCCTGCTGGTGGGAGCCATGACGCGGGATCCGCCGATTCGGCATATGTTGTCGGAGTACTTTGGGCGCCCCATCGCCCCAGAGAACACCTGCCCGGCAGACTACGCGGTGGCCATCGGCGCCGCGATTCGTGGGGCAATGCTACAGGGCAAATTTCACGATTTATCGATCAATACTCGCTTTGTGAGCGGCACTGCGCAAGCCATGCGCCACGGCGGTCCCATCCGTCGTCTGTGGAATCGCATGAATGCGTTGATCACGCGGTCGGTGAACCCCAACGCGATTGGCCAACGCTGGCGTGGGCGCGCCAAGGGCCTGAGCGACGACGAAATAGCCAACTACGCGAAGGAGCTGGTGGAGTTTGAGGCGGCCTGCCAACGCCGCCTGTTGCTGGAGCGGGCGGAGAGCGACGCCAACTTCGTCATGCGCCGTGTGACGGCGGACTCCAACAAGCGGCAGGGAATGCAGGAGAAGCGTGTGCGGCAGTTGGCTGAGCAGCTCAAGTTTTGGCAGTACATGGTGCACAACTTTCACGACCACGAGGAGGAGCTGCAGCGTACCGTGAAGGAGTTGGAGGAGACGCTGGATGAGCTGGAGGGGTTTGCGGAGGACAACACCGCGGCTCTCACGAGTGAGGGCACGGTTAACTTTGCCAACGCAACCCCTCCCAATCACTGCAGTGAAGAGGCTGCCGCAGGCAACGCGCCAGCGCCTCAGCCATCAGCACCAGGAGAACCGGAGGAGGCGCACAACGGGTCTGAGGGGCAGAAGGAACGGCCACGAGGCCCCAAAATTATACGGCGTCCCGTTCCGCTACCAAAGGCGAGTGCGGAGGCGCAGGAGCTTGTAGAGGCAGGGCATCCCGCTTTGCGCGGCGCGGATGTTGCCATGACCGAATCCACGCGCAGCTCCTTCTTTGAGGCGCAGGTGGAGGAGCGCGCGTGGCGCGAGCCGCCAACGCCGCCTGGCGAGGAGGGCTCCTGGCAGGAGGTGAAGCGTGCTGTGGAGGCGGGTGAGGCGGTGGGGAGTCCTGTTTCCCCACAGGAGCTGCAGCGGCCCATGACGCAGGAGGAGATGCTGCAGGTGCTGCTAACCATGGCACCCATTGATGACCCGGTAAGCGAGGAGCACGCGAGAAGGCGCGACCTCGCACTTGACCTGCAGACCATGACTGTCGTTGAGGGGATGGTGGACATGGCGGCGTTGGAGACCCGCCTGGAGGAAGCCGCCAGGGCGCGGGAGGAGGTGCAGCGGGCGCAGAAGAAAGCGGAGATGAGCACCCCAGCCGCCACCTCAGCCAGCCTTTTCCGAAGGGACTGAACTGCGTGTCTGTGCGTGCATGTAGTTGTGTTGTGTGTTTTTTTTCTTGGACTTGTTGTTGATGTTGTTGACAGGTCCAATGCGGCAGCAGGTGCGATGCCACTGTCTGGATTCGTTTCTATCGTTTTTGCCACATGTAGTTCACTCAACCCAACGCTTTTGCCAAGAAGAAAACATAAATAACAAAAAAAAGTGGAGAAAAAAAAGAAAAGAAGTGAGTGGAGGCAAGAAAGGTATGCAGTGGATTGACTTTGCGAATGGCATCCTATACATATATATATATGTATGTACTCCGTTAAGCTCCTGCTTCGCATGCGTGGTTGACTTCACGTGCCTATACTTTTCTTCTGGCCCTCTGCACGTAACTTTCTCCTCCCTTCCCTCATGTTGCCTTCTCCTTTTGCACACGCAATAGCGCAAGCCGCCATGACTGCTGAGAAGAAGAGCTTCACGCACAAGCAGGTGCAGACCTTCGGCAAGAAGAAGACGGCCATCGCCGTCGCCACGGTGACGAAGTCTGCGCAGTGCAACATCCGCGTGAACGGCGTTCCCGTTTCCCAGATTCTCCCCGAGACGCTCCGCGCGAAGATTATGGAGGCCGTCAACGTGGTCGGGTCCCGCCACTTTGCCCGCCTGCGCATCGACGTGACGGTCCGCGGTGCCGGCCAGGTTGCCCAGGCCTATGCCACCCGCCAGGCCATCGCGAAGGGCATCGTCGCGTACTACCAGAAGTACAAGAATGAGGTGGAGAAGGCGGCGCTGAAGGACAAGTACCTGGCGTACGACAAGTACCTCCTCATTGCCGACCCGCGTCGCTGCGAGCCAAAG